ACTAGGAGCAAGGACGCTACTAGGGGCTCCTGGCATCGCTACTAGGAACAAGGACGCTATGGTCAGGTGTCTCCAACTCTGTCTTCCCAGGAAGTCTCAAAGACTCGCAACCGTCATGGTGTCTCCCAGGCTGCCTGCCTTGTGCCTGCTCGTTCCAGTTCTTTCAACCTGTCTCAGAGTATGTTGGAGCCTACATTGCTGCGACTTGTTCTTAACCTCTCTTTGCTAGATTTTCTGGACTGATTTTGCATCCTGCTAGATGTGTCCATCTAGCCTGGCAGGGGCGTTTGCCTTCCTACTTTGTTTCTTGCCGGTCCTAGCCTACCTCCGTGCCCGCAGGTTGCTTGATAAATGTCTGCATTTTCTTGGCCTTTGGTCCTTTTTAATGCAACCCTGTCCTTCCTATTTACTGTATATAATGGTGAACTTTCAGATTTGAAATGAGGCCGTTCTTTCAATCGATTCCATCCAGTGGCAAAGCTCGTCAATAGCAAATTTTTCGCGTTGATTTGCAGCCGCGCCTCTACAAATACTTGTGTTTTGCGATGGTGTCAATTATCCCTGCTAGCTGTAAGCTCTAGAAGGAGACTCTTCTTGACAATGACCAGGCTTCCAATGCCATTTCGTTCATTCTCCCAATCAATCCTTTCGCCATGTTTCCAACTTTTGAACGAATGTGTGTCTCCCAATAAATCCTGAGGAGCACCATCGCAAGGGGCTACAAACCCAAATCGCTTGGGACAGGCTCGGCCGCGCAGAAAGCAACCCCTCTCGTGGCTGTCTCCGGCGGCGGGCTCCTCGTGTCCTGTGAGGCCGTGAGGCGACCCCGAGCGGGTCCGTTTCGACCGTGGATGCAGGCGGGGAGTCGACGGGTGGTTCGACCCGTGGCTCACGATCCGTCGAGAAAGCGAACTGCTGAGACGCAAACGTATGGACCTTGGCGCAGAGTATTCTAAACCGGGCCCCCCGGTTTTGAACCGAGCTTCCTGCTGGGGTCGTTGGACCGAACGTGCCCAGATGCACCCAACGACCCTGCAGCCAACGATCCTGAGACGATGGAGCGGCTCCTTTTGCAGGCGTTGAAACCACGGGTGACGCGATCGAGCGTCCCCGTTTCGTGCGATGTTCTCTTCTCGATGATTCTTGGACCGTTGGACCCCAAACATTGGATGCTTCATGATATTTCCTTTTCATGGCTCGTGTGCCTTAGGCACAAAAGATGCTCGTCGTCTTGTCCAACGAGGCGAGGCCGAGTGACGAATTACTGGGATTGATACTGGGAGGGTCGGTTGAGGATGGGATAGCATTGCAGGCATTGCCTCGGCTGGTCGATTAGTTTGCAGCATTGAGGTTCTGTTGGTGTTTCTTCACAAAGCATGTATCCAAACATTGAGTGACGTGTGGAAGCAGCACTTGTTAGAGTGCCCGCCGCAAACAACTGTGCGAGGCACTGGCGGCACTGGCAGATCTATCGACAGAACACGCTGTGGAAATGCTTGAGTTTGTCCTTGAGAGGTCACAGGAGCCCCCAACATTCTGGTGCAGAGACATGCACAGACCGATCATGCAAAAGAAGTTCAGCTTAGAGTTAAGCTCTGGAGTACATTCGTATTGATCAGAGGCTCAGGTGCACCACGAACGGCTACACTGACAGATTGCGAACGCTTCACTGTGTCGAGCGTGAATTGGCAACTCCCTTGTTCCATGAGAAGACTTCTAGACTGACAGGACCTGCGGGATGTGTCAAAGTTCATTGTAGGTTGGTGCCTTAGCCTTGTGGTGGCCTAGGGACCTAGCGTTAGTTAGACACGCAAGAAACTCCTCTAGGTCTTCCTTATCCATCCTTATCCAATGATTTGTCATTTGAGTGCAAGCTTTCGAGTGTGTGTGTGTGTGACTTTGGTGTGCTTAGTCTTTTTCACGTTACTTGAGATGAGCTGTCCGTATTCCTTTTAAGTTCCGTAATCTCTGCATTTCTTTCGCAGGCAATGTGGCGAGGGGCTTCAAGTCCTTTCGACTGGGCCCCTTGACTTGTGGATTTTGCCATGCGGGGGTTTCGCAGATTAGATGCGACCAAAAGACTTGATCAGATCTTGCAAGCAGAGAGTCACCCCAGGTGTCAGGCGCTCTGGAGGTGCGCCAAGCCGCCGTATTTGAGACAACTTGCGCAAGCTTGGATAGCATTCCCAAACAGAGTTTTAGCGTCAAGCTGACTGGAGGTGATCCAGAGATGAAGATGTACATGCAACAGTTGCAGGCCGGAAGCTGCTTGCCAGCTTTTGGCATCAACTGTCGGTGGGGTTTCTCAGTGGTAGGGGCCACGTCACACTTTTCTCGCATGTATGTGATACTGTCTTTTTGAACCATGTAGTACCATGTAGGATCAAGACGATTGGTTCATGAAATCCGGATCCATCTAGCACGGTTCAGTTTGGTTTGTAAGTTGTGCCTTTGGCCTTGTTCCAAGTTGCAAGAGTTCTGTAGCAAAGTAGTTCTACATATGCCAGGACAATGGCATGCCTTTGGAGATGGTGGCGCAACAAGCCTTGCAAAGGGTGCCGGTGTCGCAAGCAGCCGCTGCCCCAGGGACCTTTTCAGCTCACCTTTTACGACCCTTTCTGCACCACAGAGTAGGTAGAGATCCTTGAGTTCGTGGTAGACAATCTGGCCCAGCTCAAGAATCCGCAGGGAGCACAGATTGTGCAAAGATGAGCACAGCCCCTTGCGAGTTTGCACATTGATGGACACATTCTTGCAGCCTAGGTCCAGCTACGTTTGCAGCTCTGCCAGAATCTCAATTTGAACAGATTAAAACCCATTTGAGAGTTGGATGTTTGTTTTGCAGTAGGATTGCGGCTGTATGTTCCATTGGGATGTGCAAGCTGAAGGTCTATCGAGCCTCCTTGGTTGATAGCTCAGTGATGCTACTACTAGCAGTTTGTGTATCCATGTCATATTCCAGGACACAGGCATTCCAACCTAGCTTTGGCTTTGCTGAGGGTGCTGAGGCGAAAGGAGTGCCAATATGCTGACACTGTCACCCTTTTTCAGTCATTTTTTGTTGGCAGAAGCATCCACATCCGCACGCAGAAGGGCGTGTGCTTTTCAGGGCAGCTAGGGTTATCCGCCCTACCACCATGTCTACCATCTCATTTGCCATCACATGTACCATAGAATTTACCACAGGTACCATGACCTACCAGCCTAAACAACTTGTTAAGTTTTCCAACAAATCTAGAAGCCAAATCATTAGTGCCAGCCTGAGCTATCCTGCGTCCATATGTAGTAGCAGGAGCGGGTTTCGTCCCTTACTTAATCAAGTAGGCGCCTCCTGGCAATAAAGAAAAAGCATATCCACCCTTCGGTCCTTGGTTGCCACGCTTGTTGGAGGAGGAGGAGAGTGGGGTTGGTCCCCCGAAAGCCGGGGAGCTCGGTGGATTTGTGAGGCCGGGAACTGGACCTCTCAGCTCGAGATTCGAACGTTGAAAGATAGGAGATGGGAGAGAGAGAGAGAGGGGGGGGGGCAGGAGGGCGAGAGAGGTGACGAGAGAACCATGTGTTGGTTTCCTTTTTGGGCTAAAGGAAAAGGCTTTTGTTCTGAGCTTCCAAGGTTGTGGCTTGAATCCTCAGCACGTTCCAGCAGATATCACGCCCTTGGAGAGGCACTCGCAGACAGTCACACACACACACAGTGGCGGACACATGTTCGGGTGATTCGGGTGGATTTTCAATGAAACATCATACGGCTGATTCAAAAGCCTCGACTTTATGAAGTATAAGTAGACATTTTACCCCAGATAGCGATAGCTATTGGGGTTCTTACTTCAAGTGTAGGAAGAGGTGCTTGTGCAGGTGCCGCTGTAGGGTGCCGCTCTGGGTGCTGCTGCGAGGTCTCCATGGCTGTGTGCGCTTGGGAGCTTGGTTGCTGGTGCCGCAAGGTGCCGCTGCAGGGTGTGGCTGCCAGATGTCTATGGCGGTGGGGCCTGGTTGCTGGTGCGGATTGCAGGCTGCTGCTGCTGCTGCTGCTGCTGCCGCCCACAAACAGCTTTTGCTATTTGGGGCCTATGCTGGCACATTTTTCTTGATGTGTGCAGACAGTGTAGACGAGTGGAAAATCAACTTTGAGGGCACGGAGAGGACATCATAATCTGATAGCTCCATCCAATATATCCAAGCAAGCTGCCCAAATGCTTCCAATTTCTACCACCTTCAAGCGAGTGGTTGGTTTGCGCTCACGGAGCCCTCTTTAAGTAGCAACTAGAGGAAGGATTGTCCACTGCGCACATGTTTGCGCAAACCTGATGAACACTTTGCAGGTCAGACAGAACTTCACGTGGTCATTTGCAGTGCTTTACAGAGAGAGAGAGAGAGAGAGAGAGAGAGAGAGAAAGAGAGAGACAGCACACGGTCGACTTTCAACACCCAGGCGTGTGCTGAGCGTCAACTTCAACACCCAGGGTGAACAGTTGGACTTGGTCACCTATTTCGCCCGAGCCTTGACCGCCAGCCATGATCTGCACCAGATTTGAAGGTTGGCCCTGTGCATGTTTTCCAAGAGCGTCCAATAAGGCCCTGCGTTGCTTGCCATATTGGCATGCCACTGAGATGCTGGATTCCTTGCAGGCGAAGATGCCCACTTTTTCTTTGCCCCGTCTTTGAATGTACACGCTGTTGGAAGCCCTCAAAACAACCGTTTGCAAGGCCAGGAAGGGCTCAATTTCCAGCCCGTGCAACTACATTCAGGCTGGGTCTTTGCAGCTCTAAGCGATAGGGTTTCACGCAGGCTCTCAGGAGGATGGGTTGGGTCAGTTTTCTTTTTTCTGTTGATTTCATCTATGCACATATATATATATATATGTATTATATGGAAAACATGAGAGATTTGCAAGCACCACCTTTGCCAAATCATGAGAGCTTTCGGGAGGACTCTAACGGTAGAATGCATTCCAAGCATGGTAAACAGAATTTGTATAGTGAATGACTTTGGATACGACAATGTGTTTGCAACTTTGGGTACGATGATCAATTTGCGGTTTTCAGCCATTCTGGCGCCCAAGAAATGGTGGGATCAAGAAGTCATTAGTAATTAGACACCATTTGTGAAATCGTAAACTGCCATGACAGCCAAAGAATCATGTTCGAAATCATTCAAAGACCAAGGAGAAAGGACAACAAGGTTAGGCAAGAGCCTGGCACTGGACATCTCTTCTACTTTAGACAATGAGACAATGAGACGGAAGGACGGCAATTTGAATATCGGACATCTCCGACTCGTCGCGGAAAGGCCGCTGTCTCCAAGATCCAAAAAGGCCACGGCCGAGGCGCAGGACGGAAGGGCGCGCTTCGTCCTGCGCGTGACGTGCGTGCACTACGGTCTAGGCGCATGAAACAGTGGACACAGAGCACAAGGGTTTGCACAGATTGCTCTTTGGCCTCACATTCTCATAGCCAAGACAGAGGGTCTTTGCTGCAAATGATGTTATACCAAATTATCAATCTGGCCAACTATTCCCATTCATCATCTCAATGTCCAGTACATTATGGCCCCTGCCAACAGCAGCCTTGCAACTTTGTTTCTTTTCGGGAGAGAGATCTTGCCAATAGTCATGGACAACATCATTGGATGTTGGTCACTAGGCTTGATCTAAAGTCACACACTGCAGCGAAGTGATGCTCCAGCTTGCTAGCTTGAAGCTCCAGAGGTACGGTAGATCACCTGACGCGTGTCCTTTCCGATGTCGTATTCCGGTGGGCAACTCCTGCGACAAGAGAGCGACAGTGAGGATGAGGGATGCAACTTCTTGTCCTTTCGATGCGCCAGTCTCACGTTGCTGGGCCTTTTTGCCTTCACAATTACCTACCATGTGTTGATTTTGAGCCATGTGGTGCCGTACAAATATGTTTGGGGTGGGCGACTGAAGAGTGAATCGAGCATGCTTCACTTCGAGACAGTTTCCCTGTCTGTCAATTTGCTACTTGTTGTCCTTGTTCTTCTTCGTGGAGGCTTTTGCTGTCAATCAGCCCCTCAATCTCTCCTCCGGGGACTCTGCCTGGTCTTCTCCCTGGTGTTTGCGCTGAACACTGTGGGAAACTTGTTGGCGTCTTCCTGGTTTGAGATGCTGGCTTTCACGCCCGTGACACTCCTGGCCTCAGTGGCCTTTTTCCGCTTGTACAATGAGCCAAAGTAGTGAAGCCTGCACCTTCTAACTGGCGTTGGTGCTTGTAACTGGATACTCCATCACCTTGATCCTCTGGGGACCTTGCTGAAAGGATTATTGAAGCCAAAGTGCACCAGAGGGTTCACAAGCTGCCCCCTGCCTGAGGCCGCACCATGCTAGCTTGGGAAAGAGCGTTCCTCTTAAGTGCATGTGTAACGTTCCTCTTTGAAGGAAACAAGCCCTCTAACAATTTTCTCCTTTTTTTTAAGCCAGAGGCTATGGTGGTGAATACAGTGGCCATGAGGCTCGGATGGAAAGAGATGGCGGACCTGTGAGCTTTGTATTTGATGCGTGTATTTTGTCTCCTGAATGTATACCGGCATTTTCAACAAGTTGCAAGGTAACTTCTGCATGTAGCTTTCATCATGTTGCTGAATATCCGCACAACATTTGGTTATTTTCAATGCCCAACAATTTGGTTCTTTGCCTTTCGCATCGCGCGTTTGAAGGATGCAAAGCGCCAAAGGATGTTTTTGCCTCAGTGAAAGCAAACATCGCTCGCAGTGACAACAAGCTTTAAAGTTGCACAAATCAAGCCCATTTGTGTACCGTTCCTACCCTTCACTCATTACAAATGCTATCCGGTGAAAAAGTGCTAGCTTGTGGAGAAGGGAAGGGTATTCTCCAACCTAATAGCGATACCTCCAACCTAGCGACGGTGTTGGAAGGGTATTCAACGGAATTTTGTGTTGACTGTTCGTTCTTTCCAGGTGGTGAGCTTCAGAGATGCGACAAAGTTGGCGCAACAAAGGGAGCGTCATGTGTGAGTATTCGGCGCACTTTCACAAAACCGACTATTCTTGGAATGGTCCAAAAGTGTAAAAGGCTTCCAGCTATATACAGGCTACTGGTTACTGATGTGCTCGGAACTATGGGAAGCGTGTCTTTTGCCAGTAAGCGCTTCGGGCTTCGGGCTGCTCAAGACTTCTACAGAGAAGAGAAGGTATGAGAGGGAGAGACAACCCTGCACATGTCTCATTGGCTCAATGCTTCCCTTTAGCTTGTTTCATGACCATTCGAACTGTGTAGAAATCAAGAACTCGGCAGCGAGATCATAAAGGTGTGTGAAGACCATTGCGAAGCATTTTCACATGTTTGTTCGTGCAAGGCTGTGCCAGAGATGCTTTTCCAGGCTCGGAGACGATCAATGCTGACAATGTCCCGGCGCTTCGATTCCCATGGATGACCCTGCGCCAGTGCTGCGGCTGCTGAAGCGCCGCCTGCGGCCTATCTCCGGCAGGGCACAGCTGCAGGCGGGTGAATTCACCAAGTACAGCGTTGCCACTTCAGTGATATCTAGCAGGTCATCCCTGCTTGGATCCACAAGCCATTCGGTCCGTAAGATATACCTACCGGTATGACTCGGATATTTTACATATCGCTTGGCAAGGCTTTGCCAGCCTCACCCACAAGTGCAGGCAGGATGCTGCTTCGTTGTGTTTAGCATGGGAGATGGTGAGGCTTACAATGAGACTACCAAACCAAATCCGATTTCCTGAGTGGGTATGGGTATCCACGTACGTATACAGTAAGTAAAGTACATTAGTTTGTAAAGCACGATCGTGGAGCAGATGTCTCACTTCCCGGCGTTGTTGAGGCCCAAAGAACCAATGGCCTGGGTATCCAGCTCGTGCAGCGTTCACGGGATCAGGCTTGCAGTGGCCAAAGCATCTTGTGTTTGGTCAAAGAACGCAAGCAGGCTTCAAAAAGCAAGGCTTCACGACGTTTGGGTGAACAATTGAAATTGAAAGCTGCTTATTCATTTTCAGCGTGTTGTTTCCGTCATATGATGTCTCCACGATTGTTCCACGGCAATTGGAGCTGACCGCGATACAACTCAGTTTTTAAAATGTATTCTGGCTTACAGTATGGCATAGCCAACAGAGCACATGACCAGGTGAAGCAGTTGCTGCAGGACGTCAGGGACCAGTTGAGGCTCATCTTCTATCAAGTTCCAACTTTAGTTTTAAGATGTTTTAAGAACACTTTCAAGAACCAGAGCTGGTATTCAGAGGCAAATCTTGCTGTAAGCTGCCAGTGTTTTGTATGTGATTATCCTTGTCAATCGTGTGCGTGTGGCGCAGGTCTCAAATAGCAACTTGCGGGCAAACATATGAAGTACGTGGTAACACGGTAACACGGACCCACACGGCTGTGCGCTTGTAACGCGCTGTGTTTCGAATTATTAAAAGGGGTTTGAGAGCAAGCAGCAAGCACGACCAAACGTTGTCGCTGAGCACTCTTGGGGGTTCACACGACAAGATTTGACAAGATCGGCCAACTGTGACATCGATGATCAGCAAATACCGTGGCCCCCACTGATAGTCTCCCCAGTCCTTCCCCGCCACACCAACCCTAATTCAATCACATGTCCAATCGATGACAACTCTTGTGAAATGGATGACAACTCCTGTTAAATCGATGATAACTCCTATGAAAGGGATCACAACTCCTCGGAAAGCAGGGACATCGTGCTCTGCCCAGGGGCTCTGCGGGTCACACGCAATTTTTAATATCACAAAGTCTATGGTGGTGACGACACGTGACACCAAGAGCATACGCCACGCAAAGCACTATCGTGGACATCATGTTTTGGTAGAGAAGTTCATCATAGGACTATCGTTTGTTTCTTTGTTTCGTAGGTCAACGTGTCTTACCGACGTTCCTGTCGAAGTGCCGGAGACCTTGGCCCGAGACGGCAGGGAAAGGGCTTTCACCATGTGACCAATACTTTGGAGGCCATCGCTACTAGGGTGGAGGCCATCACTACTAGTGTCTAAAAAGCAATGAATTCAAGAGTGTGGTTTGGAGGAATAAGCACTGTAGCAATTCCTAAGGAGCAGCTGCCAAAGAAGACTTCGAGCAAAGACTTGGAGGTCTTGGGTAAGTAACTGAGGTGTTTTGTGTTCTTGCTGAGGTGTTTTGAGTCAGGTGGTTTGGTGCTTTGGGTGGGTGAGCTGTGCAGGCAAAGATTAAGAAGGAGCCTCAACCGCTGGAGGGCACGAAGCCGCCCTCGGATCAGCCTCTCGAGGCCTTGAATGTATGATGCATGTATGTGCATTTGCCATGCAGTGGGATACCTTGCTTCAGCTTTGCTCGCATCCCTCTGAAACAAAACCGATGTCTTGTGCCTCAGTCCCTGAGGATGTGCCTGGACAAGAATTTTCGCTCTCCGACTGCACAAACAGCGGCATTAGCTCAGCTTTGATCGAATGCGCTAAACCTTTCAACCAAAGAAGAACTTTTCAACCACAGATGAATCTAGGAACTTAGCCCGATTTTTGTTCTGAAGTCTTGGAGCACCAGAGCAAATACTTTGAGACTAAGGGCCCTGAGCTTTGTGCTGCTGCCTCAAAGCTCTTTGTGCAAGAAGGCACCTGGGTGCGTGCAGCTGAGTCGCCCAGGCTGGGGGCCCAGTTTTGCAAGACAGTCCGGATGCCTGCGAGAGAGTCAAGCGAGAGGCCTAGGTGCTGTATATATATATATATATATGTTTTTGTTTCCACTGATTTCTATCGATTTCTCTTCTTAGTAGTGTTTGGCAGTATTTGCGATTTCTAGTGTGTGAGAACAGCCAGAAATTGATTGATAAGTGCAACAATTCAACTCTTGTGCCATCAAAATTCCTTGCATTCCATAAGGTTGTACCTTGAATGCGCGCAGCTACAGGCTGCTCGGAGGTGCACTAGAATCACAGCCTGCAATAGCATGCGGGTTGCAGGATTGAACCTTCTTCCAAAGAGTATCACTATGAGTCACAGATAGATCAACCAGAACAAATCACACTTCCAATCCCTATCCATGATGTCCCCCTTAGATTTTCAGCACTAAGTCACCAAGTGTGATACCGCCTGATTCCTAATAATCTCTGAGGAAGTGACGTCTGCGGGATGTGCAGGTCTTTGGCCAGAGCTTGAACAGATCTTGTGCTTTGGCAAAGGTTTGCTTCGTCGGAGCAGCTAGAGTCAAGCGGGTGTGGCATTTCTTCCCACTTGTTTCGCAGCAAAACGGCGGTAAGATTGCCTGATTTGAAGCTCCAAGTTCTTCGGGCCAAGCCACTGATTGCTATACCAGGTTGCCAATGGCGCAGCGAGCTGTGCAACAGGCAGGGTGCACATGGTTCCAATGAAGCTCTCCAGCAGCAGCATCTTGAAATGGTATTGCATGCGTAGAACTGCTGATACTTGGTATTGGAGGGGTATTTATTATTATTTTTTTGTTTTTTTTGTTTTTCATGGCTTCTGGCTTTTGTGGCTTTTGGCTTTCGTGGCTTTCGTGGCTTCTGTGGCTTTTGGCTTTTGTGGCTTTTGGCTTTTTGGCCTATCCATCTATCTGTCTATACCTATCTATTTATCTATCTATCTTTCTTTCTTTCTTTTGGCAGCTGTTCTCCTTTCTCTTTTTCCCGAATGCGTAGCGAAGGGTTCCCGTTTATAGTTGGGGGTCTGGGGGTTGGAGCTGTGTTCGCGTGGCTTGCGTCGTGTCGTCGTCTCTCGTCGTCTCTCGTCGTCTCTCGTCGTCTCTCGTCGTTTGTCGTCGTCTCTCGTCGTTTGTCGTCGTCGTCGCGTCTCAAATTTGCTGCCATTGGGGGAAGCTTTTGCAAGGGACTTTGCATGGACGTGTCACGTGTCAGTTTGCGTCGCTATTCCATTGTGATTTGCATGACACCGACATGTCGCGCAAGAAACGTGATGCATTTCGCTGCACAGGCACAGCGTTTTGTGAGATCCGCAGTTTGCTGCGCAGTGCCATTGGGATTAGCGTTTGGAGAGTCGTGTTTTTGGGGTGTT